TGTGTGTGTGTGTGTGTGTGTGTGGTCTGAGTAGATCCTGGTTGAATCCCTGTTGCTCTTAATGACAGTGAACGTCAGTGGTTGGACCTGAACGACGTGTCGACAGATTCTTCTTCTTCTCATCTAAAGTTCCTGTGTCTCTGTGTGTTCAGCCGTCTCCTCACAGCGTTCATGGGATCTACTGCAGTCCGGCTGATGGGAACCCTCTGCTGCTGACGGCCGGCTCCGACATGAGGATCAGGTCTGAGACTCAACCTGAGTCTGAACATCTGGAACACAATATTATCATTGTCGTCAGAGAACATGAGCAGGATGACGTGAACGTTTTGAAATGATGCTTCTCAGGTTCTGGGACCTGGCGTATCCTGAGAGGTCGTACATTGTGGCGGGCGGAGCCAATGACTCGCTGCACTGTCCGTCTGTCCTCTACAGCAGGAAGATCATTGAAGGGACGGAGGTCGTTCAGGTGAGGTCGCATCATTAATGATCCCGACCAACCGCCACACGAGTGATGTTTGTTTTGTTTCCCATCATGCCTCTGTGTTGTGCAGGAGATCCACAGTAAACAGAAGAGCGGCGTGGTGGAGGACTCGCCTCGCCGCGGCCCAGAATCCCTCCCTGTGGGACACCACGACATAATCACAGACATCGCCACCTTTCAGACCACGCAGGGCTTCATCGTCACCTCGTCCAGAGACGGCATCGTCAAAGTGTGGAAGTGAAGACGTCTTTGTTCTGCTCGCCGCGAGCGGCGTCTTTGTTTTGTGCACTTAACGAAGCACGAGTACAAGAAAATGTGTTTCTGAAAATTCGATTTGAAAACGAGTGAAGTGTTAGAGGACGAGTTGGAAGTTCATCAGGGACCGAGTCTCGTTTTCATGTTGATCAACAAAACAAAAAGCAGATTAATCAAAGAATCAACCGTTTCAGCCGCAGACTGAAAATAAAGATGGACGACACGTCTCCGCTTCCAAATCAAATGAGACCAAAACGTCTGATGAGCCGTGATATCCAGGTCCCGCCCACACATTTGCTTAACCAATCCTGAGTCTCCGCCTGTTTTTACATCGTCAATAACTAATTAAACCAAACTGATCAGAAACTTGAACAAACATCAGAAAGAAGAACGAGCTGAAACGACAGAAACATCTTTACAAACATTTATTTAACGTCTACTTTGATTTTCTTTGAGTTTGGTTCATGTCCCATCTGCTAACATGGAGGAGGAGGAGGGTTCTATACTGCAGCCAGACACCAGGGGGCGATAGAGATTCACTTTTCTTTCTTTACAGTCTGTGGTTGTTTGACTGATGTTCTAGTTTAAAATGTTTTTTCCTGTAAATACTAAATAAAAACCATGAGTCAGCTGCATTTGGCAAAGTGTCGTTTTTCCTGATTCAGCGGAATCAGTTTTTATTTTTTGAAACTTTTAACGTTAACGATGTGAAACATCTGTCGCCCTGAAACCAGACATCTGGAACGTTTGCTGTCGGTCCGTCAGCTGCCGCCATGTTTGACCATCACTGGTGCTTCTCTCCACCGATCAGAACTTTTCTGGATTATTTGAGTCGTTTTTTTTCTCGGTCGGTTTGATGAACCACAGACATCGACGACTCGCCATCGCAGACGAGGACGCGAGCTGAAGCTCGACGCTTCAGACCTTTTAAGGATCAAACTGTGAGACGAGCCGCAGACAGTGTTTAAATAAATAAGTTGTAAGAGAGGAGCTCCACACACACACACACAGTGGGTGGCGCTGAGCGACCCCGGCGACCTTTACGCCCCGACAGACTCGACTCTGACGACTCGTCTCAAAGAATCAGCAGCAGCTTTTTTTAATTAAAGGTGAAAACAGAAACATGATCAAGTTCATCCAACCAAAATAAACAAGTTCAGGAAACATGAAACTCAAACATGGAGACGCTGGAAAAACCTTGAGATTATTCATTTATCCGATAATAAACTCGAACCACTGATGAAACACGTTCTAAAAACTGGAGCTGATCACTCTGACATGTTCACATATCGATCGTTGCTAATTTCGTTGAAATGAGAAAGAAATCCATGAATCATCCGATGATTAAAAACGTTTACAAGATAAAATGAAGGTTTTTCTCTCACACGTTTACTTTCACCGAGACGTTCACATTCAGTCCCAGAAACAAACCTGATTATTAGTATTTGATTTTAAATAATGTGATAAATGATGAAACCAAACTCGTTCATATATAAACTCACTTTATTGTTTTCATTCCTTCGAACATTTTCACTCTGACAACTTGTTTTTTCCAGCATCCTCATGAAACTAGCACCAGATCAAAGTTTGACGAGCGTCGACCTCGTTCACTCGTCGTGAAGCTTTTACAAACAGAAGCTTGGCAGGAAATGAAACGTGCAAGACACAGGAAACTCGTCCACGAGACGAATTTTAAAAATGAATTCAGCTGCGGGACGTTACACTTTCCCTGAAAACATTTGTACAGAAAACATTTGCAGTTTATCGTCTTATAAAGAACTCATGACTGCCCCCTGGAGGTTTTCTCCTCCTCATCAACTCTTCGTCAAACACAGGTTCTCACACTCCTCTTGCGTCTTGAAGCGGTTCTCGTTGCCGCCGCAGCCGCCAAACCAGAAGCGAGAGCATTCGTTCTGCTCGGTGTCGAAGAACCACGCCATGGTGTAGTCCTGGCAGCTGCCGGGGTCCTGGCCGAGGAAACAGGCGTCTGAGGAGACACAACGTGACACAGACTCGTTTACTGACGAGGACACGAAGCTCCGAACCTTCACCATCATTTTTAATTCTTCCTGTGGTGAAGTTTGATGAACTTTGACCTGTGACATCACAACCTCAACCGATAGCAACATGTTTGTGTGGTTGGCGTCACATCCTGCCCCGCCCACATTCAGCAGGTGACTACCATTGCACTTGTTTTTTCAATCGGTCACAGTCGGAAACACGACGGCTGAAAGCATCAGAGACGCTTTTACCTTTGGAGGCGAAGCTGTTGAGCTGCGGCGGCGTCAGGATGCTGGGATCTGACGGAGGAGAAGAAACTGTGAACACACCTTCAGGAATCAAACCACGGGAACTGAACAAACGTCTCAGACATCTGAAGAACGGGTCTGTACACGAATTTAAATCTGAAACATTTGAATCGTGAGAAAATCCACTTTGTAAGAAAAAGAATAATAAAGTAACATAGAGACATATTGACACGAGTGGACGGAGGTTAGTCCACAGAGACGCCCACTTACTGTTAGTGCCACAAGTCTGCAAACATTCATTTTCCGTGTTAAAGCGATTGGCGTTACCGCCGCAACCGCCGAACCAGAAGGGAGAGCATGCACCGATGAGACGGTCAAAGAACCAGAGTTGGACAAAGTCTTCACACTGGGAACCAGCGTCAGCGTCCAGCTGACAGCGGGCTGAAAGCAGAACACACACATTTACTACACACACTGAGAACCGCGGTCCAGAGCAGCGCCCCCTGTCTGAGACCCCTGACCACTACTCTGACACGCCCCCTACCAATGTAAACTCCGCCCTCTTACAGAGACAGTGACACAGTGGACTGTAAAGTTCTGATGCAGATGTTTCACAGAAGATGTTTTTTATCAAACTCGTCTAATGACCTTCTCTGTTGCCATAGTTACAACATCTGTCATCAGTTAATGAGCCGTCGTTCTGATTTAAAGGAACAAAGTCAGGTGAAGTCACAGCGATGACCAATCACAGCAGACCGTGGGTCTTAAAGAGACAGGAGCTACAACCCAGTGTTGGGGACAGAGGCTGAGCTGCGGCGATGGACAGTCTGAGGACAGTGTCTTCTGAACATTAGAGCATGAAAAGATGAATAACTCTGATTCAAATGATCGACATGAACAGAAGAAGTTTAGTTCAGAGACAAGATCACGTGTTAATGAAGAACGAGAAGTTTGATCGACAGTTTGAGCCGAAACATGAAGCATGAAGCATGAAGCATGAAGCATGCAGTCAGAGAGCAGTGTGTGTGTGTGTGTGTGTGTG